AAAGAGTATCGGTTCAGACGGCATGCGAAAGTCGAGAACGTTAAAATTCCCTCGATAAACAACCAAATGTTAGTGGGAATTACAATCGAAAGCCTGTACTTCTTCCCTCTGCTTGCGACTGCGGACAGTACCTAAGGAAAAGACAAAGAAGCATTGCTCGTAATTTCGTCGTATCCGGCTATTGACTAAGCCACACAGGGACTAGTGAAGGGCTCAGAGCCGCTCGAAGGGAAACCTACTGCAAGGACATGACCGCGGGGAACATACTTACAGAGAACTATTGAAAACAAAACTTCCATCTGGTGCGAAACCATTGCCTGGACTTTCCGTTAGGTCACCTTGGCGACATAAACTAGTTTTGCCTGTCCCCGGACAAGGTTGAGCATGCCGCCAGAACAACAATAGCAATCATAACAACAACAACAACAACAATAATAGCAATAGGTTGCTAATTACTCACTTTTTTGCGATCTCTGCACCTATTTTATTATGGCTTAAGAATGTGAGTTTGAAGCACAAAACATGAAACAAAATTATAGAGTTGCCATTTCTTCACTCACTTCCTTGGGTGGACATTTCTTCATTGAGCATTTTAACGCTTAGAATGTGATCTATGAGTTTTTTTTTTGAAATTCTTTAGGTAATAAGTGTCCTCCGAGTAGGTATGATGAAGAAGGAGAGATAGAGGCTCACATGGTATTTGAATCCTTATAGAGGATAAAGAAGGCAAAAATCCCGTTGCCTTTATAAGGCACACGAAATGGTTCGATCATTTGAGAAGGTGAAGTCAGGAGCCTCAGCAGTACTACAATGGGCGTATTGGCCTAAGTGCGCTGGGTTTGACCAGCAGCCGCATCAACTCAACTCAACTCAACTAGGTTCCGGTGGAAAAGTAGCAACTAAAGGCACTCCCATGAAACCTTAGGTCATTTGTGAAAGTAAATTGCTATATACATATTGACGAGCATGAAGCGATGAAACTTTCGCTTCCCTTTTAAAAACTTAAGCCTTTAGGTGGCGTTGGAATCGATTTTTCAAAACCAACGTTTTTACCGTTTGATGATGAGTAGCTCAGGTCGATATCGCTAAAAATAGAGTAATTATTTTACGATTCCAGTCATAGACTGGCGGTAGCAGTGGCCAAGTGGCTACCAAACGAAGAATCTTGGGTTCGAGGCTTAGTCATATTAATAGCTAAAATATTAAAAAATTAATTAAAAAATTTAATTCTTCCAATTCTTGTCGCCCGTTGGCAGGGAATTTCAATCCCTTGGAATGTACGTATTTCTGACGTGAAATAAAAGCTCCTCACAAAAGTCCATCAGCCGATATAGAAGGCTTAAAGTGCACTGTAGGCTCTTACTTACTTACTTACTTAATTTACTGCCGATTTTGACTGATTTAAAAACATTGCGCCATTCTTTTATTTTTTTTGCTGTTCGGCGCCAATTGGAAATACCAAGTACAGCCAGGTCCTTCTTTACCTGGCCTTTCCAACGGAGTGGAGGTCTTCCGCTTCCTCTGCTCCCACCGGCGGGTACTGCATCGTAAACTCTCAAAGCTGGAGTTTTCCGTAGTAGTATACCGTTGGCCCTACCATTTGCAAAACCAATGAGATGTAAAGCTTAATTTTAAGCACAAGTTATCATAAAAAAGTCTAAAAACCTTGAAGCCTATTACAACTTACTCTCTGAGCGCAGGACTTCTATTTCAAGAACTTCAATTACATTTTTAAGCCATGCTAAAGAAGTGGTATAAGCCCGTTATGTATAAAGATACTTTTTTTTATATTTTTCCGACCTCTTGCGCTGTAATCATGTAGAATTAACTTTTAAAGTAATCAGATTAGTCAGCAGTGGCATCGATTTAAGTTGGAGAAGGCTTAGTAACGATTTAACATTGCAACATTGTATTTGTAACACAAAGGAATATGCACGAGCGTATTTATTTTATTGTAAGTTTTAAATTTTTTTTATTTATTTATTTCAATAAACTGACGATAATTAGAATACTCAATATTTTTCACTAACGTTTACCGAAATCAAATATTTACTTTTAAAATGTAATAATTACTATTAATTGGAAAAGTAATAAAGAGTAAATGAATTTGTTATTAACTTTCGCTTTAAACATATACATTTTCTATTTGGAATTAAAGACACAGAGGTGGGGGCGGGACCCTTGGAATATTTATAAAATAAACTTCTCTGGTTGACAGCAAACTTGCGCAAGGAATGCATAACCAGACTCAGCTGCAATCTTAGGTGATCAAACTGGTTTTATCGAGAGCAAGAAATATATTAACTTTGTTATTAACAGTCGCTATCCACTTAAAGCAGTGAGTTCGAATGAGATCATCCACATAATGCTAAAGAAATCAATGGTTTGTTGGCTTGAAAGGATCTAGAGAGCTTTTGCAAAAGATCACCCTTAACAGGGACGGCCCACACTTCGTTCAATAGAAACTACTCTACATGAAGTGATAAATGTATTAGGAAAATCTTTACATTAATATTGAAAAAATAAACAGAATTATTAATTTTATCCTGCCTGCAAGCATATGAAACACAGTTCCAGAATGGATGAACAGAAGGATTATAATATCCCCTGCTTACTGAATCACGAACGGAGGGACTCCCTAAAAATATGTCTTGTATCCACTTCTATAGGTAGTACCGCTCGACGCTCTACTTGAATTCAAGAGAGGAGAAATAAAAGTTGTCTGATATGCCGTCAATTTTCTGTTGCTTCCATAATTAGAGAGATTATGTAAAGAGTCTTACGTGAAGTAAACAGACGTGCCGCTATTGGTCTTATCGTGGTTAGATAGAGCTGGAATTAGTCACCAAAATTTTGCAAAGTTTTATTATGTAACTCAGCAGGTATGGCATAAAGAAAAAAAGAGCAGCTTATGTAGAAGTTATTAAAGCCATTAGTTTATGTTCGACGGATGCGCTTAACAAACGCCTGTATCCTTTGCTTATAAAGATCTTTATCCCAAAGTGGCAGCAGCTTTCGCCAACAGACTCAAGAGTGTAGCTGCTAGAACCAAAAACAGTTTGGACATATCGATATAACTATTATTCTCTAGTTAGTTTTCAATAGATGTCTCCAGGTGACGATACTCCCCGTACATGAATGGTAAAGAGATTTGGTACGGTTGAATAATACTATGCCAATTTTCGACGATGGATCAAAATGGCCAAAGATCTTAACACCTCACTCTCTTTTCATCTATCAAAAAAAGATCCCCCGAGCTTTAATAAATAACTTTGGAATATGGAAAACATCCGTATAATCGGTTACTTAGGCGGTATTGCCTGCCTTACCGTCACCATCGTCAATCATCAGAAGAGACCTTAATTTGCAATTCGAAGGAGCTCTCTGATCTTGTTATAGTCCGTCGATCACGATGATTTTCAGAAGTGTATTTCTGCCATGAAATAAAAAGTTCTCATAAAAATCCTTCGGAGCACTCGGAGTTGACTTCAAATATATTTTTTGTGAAAATATCAAGACTTATCCCAAAAACTGTAGGAGGTGCCCCTAAGAAAATAGCTTCAGTGGTTACAAGGCGGCAAATTATATGTATATAATGTGTTGTTCGAGGACTTGGTAGTCATTTTATTCCAGCTAGTTTTTACGGGGCAGATTTCAAACCAATAACCCATCCCAAATCCAACCCAAACCCATTCCTCAACCTCGTTGGAGCATTTACATAGCGAACTGCTTTCTTCAAGACCGATGCTCGTTCGCAGTCTCAGCTCTGGTGAATAGATGATGCATTTAGACTTCATCGAAAGTGGAGTTGGAGTGGCTCCGATTGCAACTGCATACCATGCCATTACACCCCCTACATCCATCGTCGATAAGAGTGTACAACTGATTGACATTATTGATCTTTGCATTCTCCAGACTGGATAAGGAAACGAAAAATATGGGTCTGGTAACGAATGAGTGCGAGACGAAATAACTCCGGAGGCTTGGACGATGACAACATCTGATGAGTCGGTGTTAGGAGTTCGAAGGAAATGTTTTGCGCAAGATTTGTAGTTTTCTACGAGTAGGGAACGGCGAATATCCCAGCCGATAAGATGATGAGCTGTACGATATATAATATATGGCGAAATTGCCACAGTTCAGCGAATCACGCGCCGGTGGAGGCAGAGGAAGAGCAAGACCTCCACTCCGTTCGAAGGACTAGGTGGAAAGCGATTTGGTTTCACTTGTTATTTCCAACTGGCGTCAAACAGCGAGGAGAAGCAACGAATAGCGCAATGTTGTTAACTCGGACATAATAGCGTAACCATTGCTCACGCAAGGGCAGAAAGAGATAGCTAAACAGCACAGGTTATCTCTCATTTGAATTCCTGGTCACAAGTAGATAGAGTAAAATTGTAAGCCTGACGAACTTCCCAGACTAGGTACGACCAAGCAGATTCTGCCCGACAAAGAACGCATTGTTAGGCCTTTTGCTACATGCAAAACTGCTACTCTCATATTTCACTGGGTTAATTAAGCTGAAACCACCCACACTGTTAATGACAGAATTTCTAGACAAACATGATCGAAATGGTACCGGAAAAAGTCACGCGAAATATATTTTCTTAGAAGAGAGAACATCCCTAAGGTTCTGAGAGTCTTAATAGTTCATTGCTTGACATGTTGGCATGAGGCGAAGCTGGGAGTTCCCTTCATTTTAAGCTATAAAAACTGTAGGAACGATAAGCAGCAAGCAATGGTCTCTTATATCCTAAGTGATTGGGTAGAGCTAGGTTCCAATATCCAGGAGCTGTTTTCATTGATGACTTTTATAGGTTAGCAGACAACATGTTAAATTATCTAATGAAATTTATAAAGCAATCGAAGTGGGTGGATAGTGAAGCTTAGTGGTCTAGTAACCAACGTGGTATGACAATGAACTTACATTCTGGCCTATACATCGATAGCCACTTCAACCTAACCTAAAATAATGCGCTTTTAACAAAACGAAAGCTTAGTTTGTATTTTTACGACAATTTTGTTCATTTATTTATTTATTTTTTTATGTAATATTTTATATGCTTCGTTGTTTCTTCTTCAAATACTGTTATACATCCTATATACATATATTTATTTACACGTCCATACGTATGTTATGTATATACAAATATGTACCTAAATTAACATTTTGCTATTGTTATAGTTAAATGGAAATTACAACTAAGCGAATATTTGCGCATTTAACGCATACAAATATTCCAATACTCTCTGGCTAAACGTCGACAACGATTGTAACAACAATGACATATTTATATATTATATATACATACATACCTACATATTGACATGGCAACTAGGTAAGACTTATATAATATCAATTACTTTCATACATACATACTGTACAATAGTCTATATATGCATATATAAATATCTTACGAACATACATCTATATGTAAATACTCGTACATACATACACCTGCATCTGAATGCAGCATGCAAGTGTTTATTTGTCCCAATTATTATTTAATTTTCCTTTTTACTAGATATCACATAGACTCTCGCTACTTGCAATACTCAGTTCATTTTTGTTCTCCTTTTCTTCTATTTGTTTTCTTTTTCTTATACTTTTCCGCCCCACTTTTTTTCTCTTCCTCTTCCTTGTTTTAATAATGCAAATCTAAGTGGGTCTCATTGAGTACGCCATTTATAGACTTGACTTGTTCGGTCATCATCACATTGCCATTCCGCAATGACTCCTGTGTTATGCATTCATTCAATTTCTCATCATCATCACAGAAGATCAGCTTGGCCGAAGCTTGTATGAGTTTCTGTTTATCCGCACCCAGCCGATGAATGACCAACAAAGGTCCATTGCCCGTTTCCGATTGTGACAAATCATCTGGCAGTTTGGAGATACCCTGCGCTGCGGTGAAATCAATGCCGGTGATCTTGTGACAGTCCATAACAATGGGCAGACTGAAATTGACGCGTTCGCATGCTTTGAGCACTTTAGCGCGCAAATGATTGATGGCGGGAAAGTAGATGACGCCGACGGGTGTAATGCGTATGTACTGTAGCTCATTTACCTATGGAGAGTTGAAATTTTAAGAAAGAAACAATAAAACTCTTTTCCATTTCATCAACGACTTACCTCTTCCATTTTCACAGAGATTTGTGGATGCGCCCACATGAATAGTAAATGTAGTACAGTTACAATAATACTGACCAACAGACCCACTTCAACACCGCAAAGTATGCATACGGTGAAACACAAGACCCAAACGCAAAAGTCCCGCTTGGCGTCACGCCACAAACGGCATGGTAACTTCAGATCCAACAGTGTAACAATAGAACACATTAAGATGGCAGCGAGCGTAGATTCGGGTATATAGTTGAAGTAGGGACTGAGGAAACCAAGCGCCAGCAGTACAATGACGCCTGTTCGTGGAGAGTGGGATAAGGGCAAAGAGTTAAATTTGAACTGAAAAAAGAAAATTTTTGAAATTTTAAACTTACCCAAATACAAATTAGCCATAGGTGTTCGGAGGCCACAGCCATTACTGATGGCATAACGTGAGAAAGCGCCCGAAACTGGCATAGATTGTACGCAAGAACCCGCCAGATTACATAGACCGACGGTTATTAGTTCTTTATTAGCATCTACCATGCCCTTGGGTGCTGAAAAAAGGGAGGAGAAATGTAAATTGGACACGAGATATTTATATCTAGAGTAAGATGTGTGAGTTTGAAAAAATTAAATGTGAAGCCGACTTCATTACAACTTTAGCTCTCGCGAGGTTTTTCGCTGGGAAATCTGTGAAATTAACAAAAAACGTTAACAGGTTCTCACTGATGTTATTTAAGCTCTCATTAGACCTCAGATAACATTACAACTTGAGATTTGTGAAATATTGTGTTTGCCCTCAGAAACCTTAACCTCCGAACTAACCTTAAGATTAGTAATGCGTTTGTTCTATTAGTAATGATTACATTAATGGATCTATGTAATAACTACATTCGTAATAGTCTGTTATTTTTTATTTATTATTTATTAAGTAGTAAAAATAACATTTTTAATAATAAGTAATGTTTACTGACTACATTCATAATATTCAGTTATTGTTAATGATTATAAGTAATGACTAAACATATAATAATCAGTAATCATTAGTTATGAAATTTATACTTAGTAATCATTATTGTTCCAAAATTATGATTACAATACTTAGTAATCAATAGTAATTGCGGGTAATAATAAAAATTTATATATAATGGTTAATTAAAATTCAATGATTACATTTATAATATTTGTAATCATTAAGGATTCCAGGTAATTATTACTTTTATATTACCGAAAAATCATTAATGAGTACGAATTGTGGTAAGGTTTTAATCTTAAAAAATGAGTAATGATTACAAGTAATGATAACTTGTAGAATATCTAGTAATCATTACTTATTAAAGGTTACATTTCTTAAAACTTAAGTTATCAATAATGATTTAGAGCAGTGATTACATTTTTAATACTTAATCATCGTTGATGATTCTCAATAATGATTAATGCTGTTTTATAGCATAGTTAGATAGATAGTTTGTAATCAGTATTGGCACCGTGAATAATTACATTCATAATACTCAGCATTCAAGCTGTTACTATATATGTAATAATTAGTAATTAACAATAATCATTAGATTTTTAATACTTAGTAATTATTACTGATGCTAAATTATAATTGGGAGTAATGTCTAGAATTTTAATGACTCCTTTACGATACAATTTTACGATTATATTCTTAACCTTTAGTAATCACTAGAGTTTTCAAATGATAATTACTTTTATAATGCAATACTGAGTTATTAGTAAGCTGAAGTAATCAATAATGACTTTAAATTTGTAATTATATTTGTTATTAATAATCATTACTTTTTATTACTAAACAATTAGTAATGATTACAAGTAATGATTACTCTTGATGACAATTAAAGATTCCATTTCTTAAAATTTTAGCCGTTAATAATGTTAGCACGCTATGATTACATTAAAGAATAAAAAGTAATCATTACTTTGTGATTACTATGCATAAATAAAATTATACTTTTTAATAGCGCAAAACATTCACTTAATAATTTATTTTTAGTTACTGAAAGTGAATGTAATTAAGATATCAACATTCCTTGCTAATTATAATGCACACAATGATGACAATTATCTGCATTTAATTGATCATTAATGATAGCGAATTGTTAAAGGCAATGGTTTTTAATATTTTTTTGTTGCGTTTCTTATTTGGTCAATGACAGTAAATCAAAACAAAAATTGATTGAAAAAAATTCTAAATAATTGCAAGGAATAATTCATTAATTCTCAAGTATTTTTTGTTAGGAAATAAAATGCAAAAAATCAAAGAAAAAAATTGTTTGTGGAAATATAAAAAAAATATCTAAAGAAAACAAAATAAAATAATAAATAAAAAATATAAACAATGTATAAAAAATGAAAAATGCTTTCAGTTTATTGAGATTACTTGTTAACGCAATGCGCTCACGATTGACATACGAAAAATGTAAAATACATTAATAATTACGGTAGAAAAAAATAAAAAAAACCAATTATTATTGAAATGTACGAATATACGAAAATTTGTTTTCAACGTAATTAACTTGTATAACGTGAAAAACATTTAATTTACATTTAAACTTTAGAAAATTGTCTGCTGTATAATTAACTAAAGGTATTGAAAAATTCACAATTTATTTTTTATTTGGTGAGTGGAGTGCAAAATTACTTCACATAATTACCATAATAATACCAGTTCAAATACCAGTTTTTCCCCCATTAAAATTAAAAGTTTACTATAAAATTTTTATATTTATAGCAGAGTAAGTGACTTGCTCGTTTTTTTTCCTTTCAATTTTTATTTTTATTTTACCATTAAATATTTCTAAATTTATTTTCATATAATTTTTGTGACAAGCAATATATAAATTCCCAAGAAATTCGGTTAATTCTGGATATTTTAAAGTTTTCTCGCAAAGCTTCAGTAAATACTCCTCAAGTGGTTTTGTCTAGCTTGATACTCTAAGCGATTAAAAAGATACTGTTAGGAGCCTAGGCTTAGGCGAATTGCGTCGAACTCAAACTACCGAGCCATTTATCTAATCAACACGCTTATCATTTAAATTAATTCAATTTTTTTTGTTACAATTAAGTACAAGCGAAAAATCATTAAAACGCAAAATCATTATGAGATTTAATGATTTCAACAATCACTTACAAACTAAATGTGCATAGCATGAATAACAAACGAGATATCCACTCATTCTAGTTGGTGGCTGAGCGGTGAGCATAAGTTCTACTTAAATATATAATAGAATATTAATTATACTCCGATACTTACTCAGTTTTCCAATTGAGATATTCGTGAGTATGCCAATGATGGGTATAACTATGATGCCCACATTCAATTCGGCTAACATATCGACGAAGGTATATGTCTTCTCAGGTGTTGTAACTGAAAATTCGGGTATCGTAAAATTTGGCAAACCCGAGAGCGCATTGGCGCTCAACGCATACGGCACTGAATGTTCCTCATTGAGCCATATATATGAAACAATGCCGGTAATTATGACCACCAGTGTATTGCGGGAGAATGATAAATAACGTAAGATTGTTGCTAATTTGGGATTGATTTTCGGATTATCAGCTAAATTTTCCATTTGCTATAAACGACAGAGAGAGAGCGAGAGGGAGGGAGAAACAGAAGAAGGCAATGATTATTGAATTTTAAAATAAATATATTCAAAAATATAATATTTGTATAGTAAAAAGTGATCCATAATTTCTGCAAGAGTTTACTTTAGTGAGCTGTATTGTCGATTTTTGAAAATGGCGCTAACATAAAGGAAATCGTCATGTCTGACCATCATACGAACGTACTCATTACATAAGAACGTTTTAAAACTACTTGAAAAGAGCTGGATACACAAAACTCTTCCAGTTAGCGAGAAAAACCTCATGGACTGAGCTACCATATGCGAAACGCTACTGAACCGTAACCAAACCCACTATTTCTGAAGATGAAGATTACAGTGATGTCAAATAAAAACGGTCGTGGTCGGTATAAGCGGTTTCCAAGCCAGGGGTGATGGCTAAGAATGTTTTGTCCATTAAGGCTAAGCTGCTAATTCGAATACTGTCAGCAATTGAATAGTTTGAGGGAAGCCATGGCCTAGAAGTGTCGAGCTTTGGCTAAGAGGACAACACTAGACCACACACTTCGACAGCGTGTGTTATCTAGCAAAACGGTACATATTTAACATAAATCGCACAATTCTAACTATAGTAAAAAAAAGCCTTCATTTTAAAACAAAAATAATGGATTCCCTATTACTAGACAAAATTGATACTAGAAATATTAAAAAATATATAAAATGCTATCAAAGCACTTACCTCCATGCCGATTAGAAAGCAAACAGCAAACACACCCATACCAAGATCGCCGACATTCGTTTCGGGTAAACGCGGCAAAAGTGTCGCTACCGAACTAATGAAACCCGATACAAGATATTTGATGCCTACCATAACTTTGATTTGTGATTCTATGACTAGAATGGCTGTGGCCGAAGAGAATGCTTTTATTATGGGTACTGAGAGGAATTCGAAAATGACGCCTGTAAGTGGAAAATAGAAAAAATTAATAATTTATAATATTTAAGTACACAATATTAAAGATTGTTACAAAAATATAAAGTGTTCAAAATTTAATTACAAAAAAAATTTAATTTAATATAGAAATGATTGAGATTTGAAAAAAAAGTTGAAAAATGCAAATTGGTATTTTGATGTTCGAAAAACTAAAAAAAAAAATACTAAAATATTTTCAGAATGTCAACAAGACACCATGATCATTGAAGTCTGAAAAAACAAATCACAATTTAATGATTATTTATTGATTTTTAATATTTTGTTTAGTTGATAAAAAATGTTTTTCTTGTTTTACTTAAACACGCAAACAATAATTATATTTATTGTGAGGTCAACAATTACATATTTGGAGATCAGAAAGCGCCTCAAAGGCCTGTACATCTTCATATATGTATAGGAGACCTTAGAAATTAGGTTAGAGGTGAATGTCCACGGCTCCTTTGCTACTTTGAGAGATGCCCTAAGGCCTGACGAATATTGTGAAGATGGCAACAGAGCCCAATTATTTTCTCAGAGCGAGCCAAATGACTTAGTAAGAGACTTGAGTTGCTTGAAGCGGCTTTTCCTGGAGTGTCTTCCCTCTGGCTTAAATATCGAGAGTAGCAGTTGACTTAATTTGGAAAAGTCAGTAGCGAACAAATTGTTTTATTGTGCCAATATTGAAGATTTGATGGATATATTTATACATGCTGGCTCATATTCATAGATTCTTTAAAATATTCCTTTTACTAAGTGGCGGTGTCCTGTCGGTCGTAGGTATACTTTCATGACTTGTGATTGGTATTTTGATAAATTTGTGGTGTTCAAAGATTCTCAAACGTTTTTCTCGGATAGGACAGAAGAGATCGAAAATATTACTGCACAAAAATTATCGGGCTTCGAGCGAGCTTGAGTTTGACGAAACTTTACTGTCGTCTCATAAAATTTTTCTAGCACCGCTTCAAATATCTCTTTAACATCAAAGTTTCTAGGTCTTTTAGAGCCAATGTTCAATGAAGGTTCTTTCGTTGATTTTGAAATTAAACGGCTTATAACTGTTGCGCAATATATCACAACCATAATGGTTCCCCAATGATTGATTATATGTTTTCTTGGGCGAACTTTAGTCGATATAAAACGAAAAATACCAATTTTTGGTTGAATTCTATTGACGAATGCCTTAAATATACGATTGGGAGTCAAGTGGGGATGGAAGGAAAAAACATCGTTATATGGGACAAAGCCGGAATTGTTGTCCGATTGCATTTATATTCAATTTTTGCTTACACTAGATCATGGGAATTATAAGTGTCAAATCGTTTTTTCTCTAGATTCGTAAAGAAGCGTAGCGAATGGGACTGACAGACAACGAGGACTAAACGAAATATCTCCCGTCATCAAACAAACAGTCATCGCATTCGTGACGCTAGTTGAGGGATAATTTCGTCTATCCTTGGTCTAACATAATCAATCTTACCAAGAGGTACTGAGTAGGCTATTGAAAAGTAAAGTTCTCTCTCCGCGAACGAAAGCCGAACTCTACAAGTTGCTCATAATACCGGTCTTACAGAGACTTCGAAAGAAATGTTTTGCCTACAATTTATGGTGATTTGCGCATTGGCAATGACGAATACCGCTAACGATGGAAAGACGAGCTCTACGAACTACATACGTGCCGAGATGGAAATAGTTCAACGAATGAAGGGACAGCGACTACGCTGGCGAGGCCATGCCGTACGAATGGATGAAATCATTCCAGCTTTGAAAGTATTCGATCCCTACCCACTGGAGAAGCAGGGAGATTGATTTATTTGTAATTATTTCTAATCCTAATATAAATTAGAAAAAAGGAGATTGGTTAATGCAATGTCCGAATCGTCAATTCGTTAGTCTGTTATTATGAAGTAATCATTATTTTTGGAACATTAATTATAATTCTTATTATTCAAATTTCATTTGTAAAAAACATAACTTAATTGTGGTTGGATTTGTAAATTTTTTAAATATTTTTTTTATTTGCATAATTATTACTTTTTTGATCACTTCTGCCGCATATCACCTTAATATTTGCATATTTATTTTTTTGTAGTTAAAAGAAAATATTAATAATTTATTATCAACTGTGTTCAAACTCAATTAATTTCAAAATTTTTAATTGTATGTTTAAGAAACTAAATGTACTTTTCGAATTTCATATTATTAATATTTGACCACTCATTAAAAAATTGGCAGCAACCAAAAAATAATTATTTTAACAATTTAAATCTTTCTCATAGCAAATCAATTGTTTTTTAGCTTTACACTTTGTTTGACGCATTCACGTGCATTTCAGGCTATTAACCCATTAATAATTAAAAACTGACATATGTGTATGTATATATATGTACGTTCTGCATAATGCCAAAAACCAGTAATAATTCTAAAAAAAAACTGCCTACAAGGCCAATGAACGATAGATGCATATACAGACATATATACATATATATGTACGTGTATACACTGACCGGTTGCAACAATCACAAAGTTAAATTGTTGTCGATTTTTTTTTTTTTACAAAAATATCATTAACGAAATTTGCGAAAAAAATTAATTAAAATAATAAAAATTATGATTGTACTGCATGACATGTTATTTAAAAATACATATATACATAAATACGTAGGTGTATATGAGGTACACAAAGTGTTTCACTTACACACACTGGCTTTTCTTCTACAACAAAAAAGGAAGGATTTATGGTTTATTGTAGACTTTGGTCAGCCAGCTGTTTGATGACAATGAAAATGCGTCCCAACCTTGTGTAATTTCTTTCCTCATTTTTTACATTTTTAATAACCACCTATGCACATTTAGGCAGATATGTATGCATCACACAGTCAAGCCGTTTAAAACTAATTTGCTAAGCTGCCATTAAATCAAATTCGAGTGCATTACTCGAGACTTTTGATGAATTCTAAGCCTGCTCTCGGCAGCTGCGACGCTACAGTTCTGCAGCAATTTTGCGAAGCACGTTACATCGACCTTCAACTGCGCCCCAGTTGTGTGCGCCCACTACATACTCGTATGCGCGTCTAGCGGCTTAGGTGAGCGAGTAAGCGTACAAGCTGGCCAGTTTGCGCAGCCGGTTCTGAAGTTGACGTCGCTCATATGTATGTGCCCACCCTCAGGCGTTTTCTTTACTCATAGTATGATGCTTAAATGTATCAACAAATTTCTATATATTTCTGCAAAAATACTTTGCAAAATATTTGATCAGAAAAATATTCGGGTCTCTTTCATTTTTATTTTATAAATTTTATTTAAAAAAAAAAACATATTTCATTTAATTTTAAAATCTCCTTTTATGCTTAAATTTATATATTAGTTTTACGTTTTTTCGTTGTTAAAGATTCTCCTATTTTTTATGATTTTTATGATCACCTAGACCGGGACCTACATATAACTAAGACTTTTGGAGGCATACATTTGGGTCTTCTTATAAGCGTACGTATGTCTTCTTGATACAGGTGCTAGAAAAGTTAAGCATACATTTGTTTTTGTATAAATATTCATTCAAAAGTTATATTTTCTCAGCGCAAATATTTCTTTATAAATAAAATTAAACGCCCTCGCGACACAAATTTAATGAAGAGATAAATAGACAAAAATAAAATATATAAAATAAAATAACAAAAATAAAATAAAATAAATAAAATAAAATAAAATTAAAAAAAAAATAAATAAAATAAAATAAAACCAAAAAAAAAATAAAATAAATTAAAATAAAATAAAATAAAATAAAATAAAATAAAATATAATAAAATAAAATAAATAAAATAAAATAAAATAAAATAAAATAAAATAAAATAAACAGAAGAAATAAAGAAATTTAAAAGAAAGATAAAAATAAAAAAAATGTATTTTTCTGCGAATTTTTTTTTATATTTTTAGTTTTCTTCATATAGTGTCCAATTATTATTTTGAAACCTAAGTGTTTTTTAAGAAGCATGGTCATGCAAAAAACAATCGATGTAAAAAATATTTTACTTTAAATAATTTGTGATTATTGGTTCTAAAGGCTTTTCTTTTTATTGCAACATGATTATACGGAAAAAAGGGAAATAATAAAATGTTTTTTGAAAAACTAAAAAATAATAATACCCATTATTATTTTCTTAGACATCAGTCACCATCTGTCTCGTAATTTAATACGCAACGTCACTTAAGTAAGCAATGTAAATACCCTACTTAAGAGCGCCTTTAAGTTAATAACTTAAAACTATTTAAACAACTTACCCACGCGCAACGAACCCATTATCAACTCAACAACGCCAGTGAGAAAGGTGAGAAGTATAGCAAACTCAATTGGTTTCCCCACAGTAAATTGCAAACTGACCAGAGCCACCAAACTGGTGGGTCCAATAATCACTTTATTAATCGAACCGAATATCAGGTATACGAAGGAGCCCAAAAATGCCGAACACAGACCATAACGGGCGGGTAGACCGGCTAATAGGGCGCAGGCTATACTCTCGGGTATAATGGTTAGACCGAGTGTTATGCCGGCAATTAAATCACTCATAGCCCACTCGCCATTATAATCACCAATCCAATTGAGTATTTCGAGGCGATTTCTTAACGCCTTCTTCACTTTGCCACCAACAGTGTGTGGCGTCGAACTGCGTCGCAATGCATCGCTGGTGAATGGTTTCGCTGAATCCATAATGATGTGTGTCGCATCCTGTGGCAACATTTGCGCCTTGGCGGCATTGTCGCACTTGTCAAAGTTTGACATATTTTTATGGGTAGATCTATATGCTATACTATGCTATTTTGATTTATATATATATTTTTTTTAATTGCTATTTTTTGTAAGTATAACACTTGTTCACTTGCTTTTAGGACACTTTTACACTAACAACTTTTCCAATCGCTTTTGAATTTGTATATTTGTAACATATAATATAAGTGCTTGTCATGTATGTAGCACGTATCTAAGTATGCTTAACTAATCTCTTTAATTTTTACGATTTGTTCATATTGATCCACACACGTTGGGCGAGATCCGCGCTGTACCGTTCCGATCACGCGTCGTTTTACTTTTGAACTTTTGCGTCAATAAAAATGTGCACGTTTCGCTCAGTCTTCTTTATGCGCAGTCTGACCTGCTCCCGCTCGACTTTATTGCTTGATGAGCTCTGATCGCGCATTCGAATATTCGCTTTAGCGGCTCTTATATATTATGGGTACATACGACAGACATAGGAGTATGAATGTATGTATGCAAGTGGAAGCGTATGTGGTGATTGCCTACTCGCCGCGCGTCTTTTATTACATGACAATTATTTTATTCTCGCATTTGGTGAATTGTCTCTTATTTGCTCTAAATATAATCGCTTGTTAATGGGTTCTTAAAACAGCTCCGCAGTACTCGAATGCTCGTAGTCAAGCGTTGCGTTGTTTGCAACTGTTGTTATTGTAGCGCCCGCTATCCCGCTTTTTCCCTACCTGTTTTCTTTACACGAAAGTGTGAATTGTATTGTATTTATTATTATTTGAAAATAAAAAAATAAATAAATAAAAGCAAGCGAATTAAATGAGCGCGCGCTAACCGACGGTGGCACTGCGACGGGCGCCGAGTAAACAATAAACCCAAAACGCTGCAAGTTCACAAATTTTATATGTGTCCACGACTAAGGCGGTTGGTGTGCGAATTGCAAATATAATATGTACTTATGTATGTATTGAGTGGCATGCTAACATAACGGTCGATAAGTACCCAGCTACCTACCTACCTATCCGGTTGTCAGAAGATAGACGCGTAAAATAAATAAATGAATTCATTCATCATTATTTATCTTTTGATTCATAAGAGATTAACATTTTCATATACATAAATATTGGTTTTTGTCACTTTAATCACAGATCAATGTTCTGTGTGGAAAGTTTGGGCGGAAATGTTAAAGAGAAGAGTTTCCTAAGGAATAACATAATTTTATTCAAATAATAAGCAAATGTTTATAACTGTAAATGTCAATGGGTTAGGTGATTTATATAATCATCTAGAAGTTCATTGACTGTAGGAGGAATTTTTCATTGATTTTGGCTTAGTCATTGATCCTTTTGAGGCGTACAATCCACTCATATACAAAGCAAGTGCTAACTTCCACTGCTTTTTCTTCAGCGCAAAGCATATTCTGTAGAGAATGTGATTCGCGTCAACAAATCGACCTGTCTCATTTTGGCCGAACAGCAATCTAAGGGGTTCTGCCATTTCAGCTAGAAAAAACAACGGTTCGGCATGGTTAAGGGGCAGGTGACCATTATCATGCCATGATTACCGACTATTTGATGCCTGAAATTGAAGTCCGTGATCTCGGCGACCTTTGGTTTCAACAAGATGGCCCCTTTTCCCACACATCGCATCTATAAATGGATTCATTGAGAGTACACTTTGGTGAGCAGATAATTTCACGTTTTAGGCCGACCGATCGTGTGATATCACACCGTTAAACTTTTTCCTGTGATGATATGTAAAGTCCGAAATCTGTGCGGATAATTCCGCTTCGATGTAGGACTTGTAGCAAAACATCATTAGTGTCATTCGTCTGTGGTCATAGCGGACACAAGGGAGAGAAATTGAAACACAAAGAAAGCTATCTTGCAGTACACGGCAACACTGGGGATAGTCCATTACTAGATTTATCTTCTCGTAGGAGAGAGCAATTGAAGTGGTCGAGTACGATGGTTAAGACGAGTAGGGCTTAATTCGGGGGTGGGCACTTTACAGCAGCCGTACGTGTAAAGAGAGTTTCACGACTATGATAAGTCGGGACGGGAAGGGGCCCTGTCCATCAAGAACAGAAAACATGCTCCGTGCTGTAACTGGGGCATCTGCAGAGAGGCTAAACGAAGTAACCGGACAGCCCCTATTCATCGCTGTCCAAGATACAGCAATCCTTAATTATAGGCAGATGGGCTCTGATAGATGAAAATCTGTGAAGGAGCAGCTGATAAACCTGATGATGAGGCGGGAAGTGCGAAAAGCTCCATGCAAACCCATACCGTCTTTCGATGGTGCGGAGTGATTCAAAGGAGTTGGAGCTGATCAAGTGCAATGATGCGTTGCCAAACTGATGGTGGTGGTAAGGCTGAGGTATGGACCTCGTGTGTGGTGAGACCGGAGGAAAGAGAAGCGTGAAAGAGGGCAACACAAATACGATAAAAATAGGCGTAATTGAAAAGAGTCCTGGTCTGGAGCTAGGAGCATAGGACGAAAATCGCTACAGCTGTTGCCAAGCGCCACATATCTACGAGTTTATATAAGATAGAGAATGGACCAACAGCCTTATTACTAATTATATTTTTCTTACGTTATTTTAGGCCGATCTTCCATATAGTTCGGGAAACTAACGAGCCAACGACGTATCCAAACTAGCCCGGGCCATTCATCTTTAAGCGCTTGACTATGTTTATGCCATTATAGAGCTCTTCAATATCCTACTCTTACGTGGACAGAGCCAATAGGTCTGACAAAAAAAAGATATCTCCAATGTTTTAAGATCACTCTCATCTTCGTTCGTCACTATCTACGTTTCTGCGCCATACCAAAGAAAGGGAAGAGATTGAAAGAGCGTATTCTTAGTTCGCAAAACTTATACTGCTGTGTAAACTGACCTTGAGCAACACTGAAAGCTCCGTCAGAATCGAGAAAGACCTCACCGAGCGGTTCGATATCTAGCAAGAGTTAGACACGGCGACTAGTTATCGTGTGATTTCTTCCATTGATTGCTCGAAAAAATAATGCGAACTGCAGAGCTTAATGGAGAAAGTACAATTTTCTATAAGAGTGTACAGCTGCAGGCGTACGCCGATGATATTAACATTATTGGCGGTTAGTTCTGCTTTCTCCAGACTCGACAAAGAAGCGAAGCAAATGGGTCTGGTAGTGAATAAGGGCAAGACGAAATATCTCCTGTCATTAAATAAACAGTCATAGCACTCGCGACTCGCCTTCCACGTCACTGTCGACAGTCATAACTTTGAAGTCGTAGATAACCTCGTCTTTCTAGGAACCAGTATTAGCACAACAATGTCAGCCTAGAAACCCAACGAGGAATCACACTTGCTAAAAGGTGCATTTTTGGACTGAGTAGGCAATTGAAATGAAAAGTCCTCTCTTGGCGAATGAAAACCAAACTCTTCAAGAGAAAAGTTTTGCGAACGATTTATGGTACTTTGCGCATTAGCAACGGCGAGTACTGCAGACGATGGAACGATGAGCTGTACGAGCTATATGATGATATTGACATAGTTCAGCCAGTGAAGAGACAGCGGCTAAGCTGGCTAGGTTATGTCGTCTGAATGTATGAGATCACTCCAGCTTTGCAAGTATTCGATGCAGAGGTAGACGAAGACCTCCACTACGTTTGGAAGGATCAGATGGAGAGCGACATGGCTTCACTTGGTATTTCCAACTGGCGCTAAACAGCGAAAAGAAGAGATGAATGGCGCGCTATAATTGATTCGGCTATAATCGCGAAAGCGGTTTCAACGTCAATAAAGCAGAAGAAGATTCTTACTTCGTTGAGAGCGGGCTCTGCTTTTCATTTACTTGAATTAAGGTGAACTGACGTCAGGGCTAATCAGAATGAAAGAGGTCATCTTCCGATGCTAATCCATTTCAACAAAGACCATAACTAAAGAAAGAATTTCCAAACAATCTAATTAAATTTTTTTTTTTCAATTTGCCTCTTCTTTTGAGCGGAAAGTTAATTGTGCTCCTTACAACTCATTGTCAACTTTTAAAAATCATTAATTGTCATTGAAAAGTAAATCGTTCAAAGAGACAAACACATCTCGAAGTAATACGAGTATGTCACCCGTGTACTCATTTTATTTATATTTTCTATTTTTTTTTTCTTTTGGAATTTTTGGATATCAGCAGAAGTAATCATTTTATTATTTAAACTTCAGCAACCATTAATTAATTGCTTTGAAATATTTACCCATCTCAGTAAATCAAATATTTATTGTTTGCTACAATACACACATATATACATATATATAGACATATGTATATTGTAATTTGGAAGTACGTACTTATGTTAAATAATAATATATAAAATCACTTTCATTTATTAAAGGCTATCATTAATCATATTTGATTATCGCGTATAATGATAGATGAACAAAGTGGCCTGTAAAAGCATACATACATACATATATGTTAACAAGTTCATGATAAAAAAGTCACCTTATTACGCTACACCGTAAATGTGATCGATATATCTGGCGAGAAGATTGTCGTGTCGTGTGACACTACATTTTCAGATTATTAATTGGAAAGTAAAACAAATTATTTACACATATTAAAGCAAATAGTTAATTCACGGTGAAATAAAGTCAAATAATTTTAGCGAAAAAGCTTTTATTAGACGAAGACATGAACAGTTAAAACAAAATGCACATTCCATGGCAAAATTAAAACTACACAAAAACTTTTCGAATATCTGCGCGTGAGTGTAAATAAAAAGAGCAGAGTTCTAAATGTTGAGTACAGACATTATCTCAGACTGAAAGTAAACATAAACACTTAAAATATACAGATATAAATATCTTTTTTGCATTAAAATCTTGTTTTAATAAAAATTTTGACCCTTAGCATTGTAAGTGAGAGACTACATCATTTATATAGCCGCCTCGCGAATCTTTGCACACTCCTATCCGTTTGAGGTAATTTTTAATCAATCTTTGGCGCATATTGGGCGGTGTTGGCAAATGTTCAGTTCATAAGTGGTGCCAAATCGCACGATCTCGGCGGCCAATTGATATTGCGACAGGGAAATAATTGTTGAAACTGCATATTGTCCAAGTTGTCTTCTTCGTACGATCATAGCGCTCCGAATTGACCGTGACAGTCTCGCTGTTGACGTTTTCAAAAAAGGGTAAAAAATCCCTAATTTTTTTTTCTTCAAACCTTTTTTTTATTGAAAAGTGATATTTAAATCCCGCATTTTCTAAACTTTATACCTGATATATATAAGTATTACATTCGATTGGTCAGAAAATTTAATTTGCAATCTTTTTAATTCCGCCCAGATTAGGGGTACAAAGAGATATTATGAATTATATGAAGTTTGAGCTTATTATCATATATTCATTACACAAATTGTGATTTAAAAGAGAAGGAATATATATTTAGTACCGTTAACGGAACACATTTATTAAATCTAGTTAGTTTTAGTTTGGGCATCTGCAAAAATCTTATGTACGTAATATTTGATAAATGTCAAATGCGGAATAGTTATTATGATTCTTTGAAAAAGTTAAGTTCTTTTTTAATATAAATTTATTTAGTATTAAATTATAGTGAAAGTAAATTTTAATTGATCCTAAAGAGCGATATCAACGAAGATAATGGTGAAGAGCACTTGTTTGAAAGTAACCGCTTAATCACACATGTAGCTTATCATTTCTAAGATTACAATATGGCACTTGTGTTGTGTTCAATACAAACTTGTCTGCTCTTCACATTGTGACTAGTAGAAGAAACATTTTATATATTTTATTTTTCATTTAATAATAATTTTACTTCGCTTTATTTAATTTAGTTTAATTTAAATTTACG